GATTCCAGCGAGCTGATGTCTCTCTCGCTGAGCAGTGCATCATGGCCCGTCAAGAAGGTGCAGTTACAGCACAGGGCCTAGGTGGGAGGGAGAAGAAAAAGGGAGAAGGGGAAAGATAAAGAAAAATAAAAAATATGGCACAGAGGGAGCTGGCCTGTGGGGGCGGTGCAGACCTGGGAAAGCCATGTGCCAGAGGCTCTCTGGTCAAGTGGTATAGCACAGTCTATCAAGAAGGGAGGGGTGGTGCATGGGGCTAGGTGGGTGGGAGGAAGGAAAGAAAGGAAAGGAGAGAAAGAAACAACAACAACAACTAAAAACACACAAAAAGAAACACAAGAAAAAACAAACAAAAAAAATGGCACTGAGTGAGCCTGGTTGTGGGATGGTCTAGACTCAGGGAGGCTGTGTGCCGGTGGCTCTCTAATTGATTGGTGTGGCATGGCCCATCAAGAAGAGGTGGGGACAGCTACAGGGCTAGCTGGGTGTGTAAAAGGAAAAGAAGGAAGGGAGAGAGAGAGAGAAGAACCAAAAAAGAAAAAAAAAAAAAGCCAAACAAATAATAATAAAAAAAAATGCCACTGAAGGAGTTGGCCAGTGGGTGCAGGGTGAATCCCAGTGGCAGTGAGCTGGTGTTTCTCCAGCTAAGCGACCTTGGCCCATTGGGAAGTGGTGGAGGCTGTGTAGAGGGAAGAATGGTATGGTGGGGTTGGGAAAACGTGTATCCCTGGTTAGCAGGTGCTCTGTCTCCTGTTGGGAGCTCCGTGAGGTTGCCTTCCTGTATTCCCTTTCCACTGTTCTCGGTGGCTGAGGTCCAAGATGGCGAATCTGTGTTGTGTTGGCTAGTAGGGGACCTCGACTTTGTAGCTCTCCTTCTTCTCTGTTCTCTGTCAGTTTTTTATCCCATTCGGTGCTTGATCGATTCTTTTATCCCTTCATTTGATGCACGGGGTTCCAGGATTGATGTTTATATCTATTTTACTTAGTTTTTTGGTCTTTGCTGTAGAGGGATGGCATGGTGCTTCTGTCTATAATGCCATGTTCTAAAAATGATCTTTTTAGGAGTATATATTTCTGTTGACTAAAAATACTAGATCTGAAAAATTAAAGTGGATACCCTTCATTGAACAATCCTTCCTAGGATGTTAGAACATCAGTTCACAACAGTAAACATTATTGAGCTCTTACCACATGTAAGATACTATGCTTAGCACTTTGAGTGAAACATGTTGAGGAGGAATTTGAAAAAAGGGGGGACTAGAATGTATACAGCAACAACAAAAAGATAACATTACAAGAAGGATTAGTAGTTCAAAATAATAATAAAAGAAATGCCATAGGCCAGACTCAATTCAGTTGGCAAAACATTGGTATAGATAATAAGTATTGTGAAAACAAGATTTTGCTGTAATGTCAGGAGGTCTATTAAAGCTTAAAGTAAGAGCAGAGTTTTGAAATATGTTTTAAATTTTAATTTTTACAGAGAAAAGCCATTTAGCAGAGTTGGAATAAGGGATATTTTTAGTTAAAGAAGTATCACTTCAGTTTATTAAAAATCAAGGTTTCCAGTAGAAAACAATATCAAATATAAATTAGTTTTAAATGTTTAACTCATCACAGGTTTGTTCTAAATATACCAATCACTAGGAAATTTATTTCTGGAATAATGAAAGTCTTTAAAATATAAATTGCTATTGATTTCTCTGCCTAAAATTGTAAGTATTTCAGAATCCTTATTCCTATCAACACTTAAACATGTTCAAGCCTCTCCAAAACAAGCAAACCTTTCCTTTTATCCTACTTTCTACTCTAAATGCCAACTTTTTGAAAGAGTTATCTACAGTTGATTTCTCTCTTCACCATTTCTTATTTGCTTTTCAAAACACTGACCTCAGAATTCTGTCCTATCACTCTATAGAATGTCACCTGTCCAAGATCACCAAGGACCACTTTTGCTATTCCAAATCTATATTTTTTTAGGCCTAATCTTACTAGATCTTTTCGACACATTCCAATCTGTGACTACTCTCTATTCCTTAAGGCTTTCTACCTTTGACTTCAGATGGTCAGTATATTATTTTGGTTGACCTCCTATGTCTATGACCATGTCTTTTCAGTGTCTTTTAGGGTCCCTTAGGATTCTGCCTGCTGCTTTATCTTTTCCCTTTCTATATTATCTCCTCTATGTCCACAGCTTCAATGAAAATAAGCTGATAGCCATGTATCTTTATATACCTTGTTTTATCTTTCTCCTGCATTCCAGATATCCATTTCTAAACACATTCTGAACATCTCCATGTGGATGTGTCAAAGATAACTCTAAAATAACATGTCTAAAAATGAAGCCATGATCTTCAGTAAGAACTCCTCCTATTTTCTCCATTGAGGACATGACACATTAGCTGTCCAGTTGCCTAAATCAGAAACCTGGAAACCATTCTAGATTTCTTTCTCTTCTTTATCGCCAGAATATCTTTTAAATCTATTGATTATTTTTACAACATGTCATTATCTCATCAATCCCTACATACTCCTACTGCAACACCCCCTCTAACCACTCCCTCTTTCTCACTCCAGTCTATTTCATATAGTACTTAAATACAGCTGATGGCAGTGGCATAGTGGGTGAAGACTCTTCATGATCTGGTTCCTATTTATTCCTACAGATTTATTACTGCAGTTCTGACCTCAAACTCTAAGAATACAAAATATGCCTTATTCAGACAACTTGTTCTCTATTTCTGGAATAGTCTTCATTCAAGTCAAGTATCTGTCTACATCACTTATCTAATTACTCCTGTCTTTCCAAACTTCGCTCTGCAATCACTTTTCTTGTTAAGGTTACAGACTTCCTAGCACCACAGCTAGGGAGTATCCTATGTGTTCTTTAACATTGTGTGTTTATCTCTGTTATAGAACTTATCACAGGTATTCCCAACTTTTGTTCACTAGTCTCCTTGAGGAATATAAAATGTATCTACCACCTGGGCTGGAAAAGTGTCATATCCATTTGCATCATCGATGTCCAGTAACTACGTGACATGAACTAGTTTCTTAATGAAGGTTTATGAATAAATAAATGAAGGAATGTTAGTTAACAAAATGCCATTCCAAATCAATAGAAGAGCCCAGAAAAACACCAATATGCCTTCGAATGTTTGGTGAAAAGTGATCATTGAATACTTTTATTCTGTAACTTTGTATGACATTTTCCCCTAGTCTATTTTCACACAGTGTATCCAACAGACTCAAGTCAATTAAGTTTTAGAAATAGATTAGCAATTATCTCACAGCTACAGTCTACTCCTAATGTACACTTAACTCCTTTTATGAGCAAAACTTCATATGTTACTATCTAGTTGAACTCCGATTTTCCAAATAATGGCAAAAAGTATAAAGATATAGTACTTTCCTAAGCTTCTCTTTAAATAGCACTCTTATTTGAAGTCATATATATGACTATATTGAACGTAATATGATTTCTATCAGCCAAGTTGCATTAGAGCTCTGATAGGAACAGGGATAAGTAATTTGGCAGGCTGTCTCTTCTTCATTCATCTCCATTTGTTTACCTTCCTCTGAAAAAAGATTATAAGATGTGACAAGTTGGCTTTGTTACACACACACACACAAATACAGGTAGAAAATAATAGTGAGGTAGGAAATCAATCTCTAAGCTTAAAGCAGGGAAGGAGCTTCACTAATTTCAGTCTAAAGTCTTTAAACGTTTAAAGACTGTTTCCTTTGTCCCTCATTAGTCCTTACTCCCTTTCCAATAGTTTTCATAATTCTGGGTGCCCACTGTAAACAGGGCACTGAAATAACCCTGTAATTCTCTCAATGTTCCACTCTTATAGTAACATTCCAAACTGCTTTGTACTACTTAAAAAAAAAAAAGAAAAGAAAAGTATAGTCCTTTACGTATGGTTTATGGAGCTCTATCACCATAAAAAAAGACCCAAACCAAATCCTTTGCTGTCAAATTAATTCTGACTCATAGTGACCCTACAGGACAGAGTAGAACTGCTCTATAGGGTTTCCAAGGAGCAGCTGGTGGCTTCGAACTACTCACCTTTTGCTTAGCAGCCAAGCTGTTAACCACTGTGCCACCAGGGCTCCTCTAGCACCATAGCCCTCACCAAAAACCATAACACAGTATAATATGATATAATATAATACAATAATAATATATGATAAGATATGATATATCAAATAAATAAATAAAATGTTAGTAGTGCTTTGACTCCACCATGATTATGTGCTCACCTAAAAGACTAGTGTAATTACTTCTTCTCAATTAACATTTTTTCCTCTCTGTCTGACTAGACTAGTTATAATAAAAATAGGAGATAATGAATGTAGGGCTGGGTATTTCATATGCATTCCCTCTAATCCTTACAGCCCTGCAAAATAGGCATTACTGACATCATTACATGGATGATGAAATTGAAACTAAGAGGGCTCATATAACTTTCCAAGACTGCAGTTAGTAAGTGACAAGGATGAGATTCAAACCTATGTTCTTAGCATTGACAATTCCATGAACTCTCAATGACATGACATCCACTCAGGTAATTGTCCAGGCTCAAATCCTAAGAACATACATTCCTTAAAACAGAAACTTGCCTACAGCCCTTTGCTTGAGCCATCTTCATGAACATATATGATGAGAAGAAACTGTAACTGCACTTATTCAATCCATTTCCATAAACATTTGTTTAAAAAGATAACAAATGTATAGGAGCATCTTCTGTATAAGTGACCCAGACATAAATGAAAAAGGAAATCAGATAAGTGCAGCAGAGATTAGTGTGACTACAAATGCAATGTTTTCAGAAACACCAAGGGCTATGTACTTTGTTTAACAATATAACAACAAGTATGTTACTGATGATGCGATCATGGTAAGACTCTAGAGAACTTTGTCTTATCTGTCAAGCCCTCTCTATCATTTCAAAACAGCATTCTTTCCCTGGCACACTGAGTTAGTGAAAATAACTCACAGCAGCTGGATTCATCTTCATTAAAGTGACAGTCAGGCACTCCATCACATAGCAGGAGGGATGGGATACACTGGTTTGCAGAGCACTGGAACTCCATTTCACTGCAGAGTTGAGGAGGAGGGCTGAGAGAACAATCCATTTCATCAGATCCATCTATGCATTCTTCCTGTCCATTACACGTTCCCGTGAGAGGGACACACTGGAGTACGTAGATACAAGAAAACTGATCAGCTTCACAAGGTGACGGCTGTGGTGTGACAGGGCCTAAAAAACAGAGCAAGTCATTTTGGCATTAGCAGAGTTATCTCTCTGTCCAGTGTCCATAGGATGAAGTTATTCTTGTATAAGCCTGAAACATTTTGGCAATTGAAGTAAATTAATTCCCAGTTAGGAATAATGTGAACTCTACAAAACATGCAAAAGTGATTAGAGACGATGCTGTATCTCAATCTCAGAATCAACATTCTTAGAAAGGGCCTCATTGACATGAAATGGACATTTTCAAATTAAGGAAGGAAATTTGCCTCATAGGTCTAAAATCTTCTGATTCTCTTAAAAGTAAAGATATGTTTGCAAAGCAAGTCAGTCACTTTGGAAAGCTGTACTCACAATTTTAGAATCTAAGGGAGTTGTTATTAAAACACTATATCAGTTTTCTGTCTCTTAGTGTCCTTTACTTGGAGAATCTGACTCCTGAGACCCTGATCAGGGTGGAGTCACAGAATTAGAAGTTTGCTATGGTTTTGTGACAGTACACGTTACTCTCGGCTCTTGATTACTTCACAAAGGCCATGTGCCACCATATCTAAAGTGTACAAAATATTACAGTTAAACCCAAGATTATTGTGCTAGACAGAATCATGAAGATAATCTGGTTCAAACCCAAACAACTCATTTTCCAGATGAAGCTACTAAGGCCTACATATTTCAAGTGTTCAAAGATACAATGCTAGTTTGATAAACTATTTATTACACAAAACTATCATGCAGCAAAAATTTTGAGAAGCAGTCCAACCATAACTTTAAGTCAAACTTAAAAAACATGGGCAAAGAGTATTGACTAGCTGATGTTTCTAGAGGTCAGAGAAGAATTTAAGTGAATATATAGGATTGCACTAAATTTCTGGAGCATTAATAGCTGAATGGTTCTTATACTACATATAGTTTCTGTTCTAGTGGTTGATGGACTCATCAGTCTATCAAGGGAAATGATAGACTCAGATGGCAATGGAGACCAGATCAGGAATAGTTTGTTTTGTTTTCTTTAGATTTTTAAACTATTTCTATTATGCATGGATTATATAGGAATAGTCTTTTATATATAACTATGGTGTTGTGAATTCATTTTTAAAATGAAATTTGAGGGTTCCTCTTTTTTCCCAACTCACCCAGTAGTGATAATATTTTAAGAATGTATTTAGTCTCAGACCCTATGGTCAAAGCCATGTATCTGAGACCTGCAGTGATGCTTAGGCAGTCTGTGTTCATGGAAATCAGCATGTTTAATTGGAAAGGGGGGTAAACTCATGGCTTTGAGACATTAGTATCATGTCTAATCTGAGATCATAGGGAAGAAGCAGCATATACAATTGCAGTGTTCCAATATACACATTCTGAATTCAAACTTAGAAAGTAAATTGGATTTATATTTTATACTCTTATAGATAGCTCTTTGGACATTTAACCATTGGCAAATAGTTTTTTTAATTCTTTTCATTAGATTGGTGTTGTTAGGTGCCATCAAGTTGATTCTGGCTCATGGCGAAGCTATGTACAAGAGAACTAAACACTGCCCAGTCCTGTGCCATCCTCACAATCCTTGCTATGTTTGAGCCCACTGCATCAATCCATCTCATCGAGGGTCTTCCTCTTTTTCGCTGATCCTCTACTTTACCAAGCATAATGTCCTCCTCTAGGGACTGGTCCCTTCTGATAACATGTCCAAAGTACCTGAGACGAAGTCTTGCCATCCTTGCTTCTAAGGAGCACTCTGGCTGTAGTTTTTTCAAGACAGAATTGTTTGTTCTTCTGGCAGTCCATAGTATATTCAATATTCTTCACAACACCATAACTCAAAGGCATCAGTTCTTCTGTCTTCTTATTCATCGTCCAGCTTTTGCATGTGTATGAGGCAATTGAAAATATTACGGCTTGGGTCCAGCGCACCTTCGTCCCCAAAGTGATATCTTTGCTTTTCAACACTTTAAAGAGGTCTTTTGCAACAGATTTGCCCAATGCAAAACGTCATCTGATTTCTTGACTGCTGCTTCCATGGGCATTAATTGTGGATCCAAATAAAATGCGACCCTTGAAAACTTCAATCTTTTCTCCGTTTATCATGATGTTGCTTATTGGTCCAGTTATGAGGATTTTTGTTTTCTTTACGTTGAGGTGTAATCCATACTGAAGGCTGTGGTCTTTGATATTCATCAGTAAGTGCTTCAAGTCCTCTTCACTTTCAGCAAGCAAGGTTGTGTCATCTGCATATTGCATGTTGTTAATGAGTCTTCCTCCAGTTCTGATGCCACATTCTTCTTCATATAGTCTGTCTTCTTGGATTACTTGCTCATCATACAGATTGAATAAGTATGGTGAAAGGATACAACCCTGACACACAACTTTCTTGACTTTAAACCATGCAGTATCCTCTTGTTCTGTTCAAATGACCACCTGTTAGTCTATGTATGTGCTCCTCATGAGCACAATTAAGTATTCTGGAATTCTCATTCTTCACAATGTTATTCATAATTTGTTATGATACATACAGTCAAATCCCTTTGTATAGTTAATATGTATTCAGGTAGACATCTTTCTGGTATTCTGTATTTCAGCCAAGATCCATCTGACATCAGCAATGATGTACTTCATTCCACATCCTCCTTTGAATCCTACTTGAATTTCCAGCAGTTCCCTGTCGATGTACTACTGCAATTGTTTATGAATTATCTTCAGCAAAATTTTACTTGTGTGTGATATTAATGATTTTTTTTTGATAATTTCTCCCTTCTCTTGGATCATCTTTCTTTGGAATGAGCACAAATATGGATTTCTTCCAGTCAGTTGGCCAGGTTTCTGTCTTCCAAATTTCTTGGCGGGGACAATTGAGCACCTCCTGCACTGTATACATTTGTTGAAATATCTCAATTGGTATTGGGTCAATTCCTTGAGCCTAGTTTTTTAACAATGCCTTCAGTGCAATTTGGGCTTCTTCCTTCAATACCATCAGTTCTTTATCATTTGCTACTTCCTGAAATGGTTGAACATCGACCAATTCTTTTTGGTACAGTGATTCTATGTGTTCCTTTCATCTTTTGATGTTACCTGCATCGTTCAATATCTTGCCCACAGAATAATTCTATATTGCAACTTGAGGCTTGAATTTTTTCTTCAGTTCTTTCAGCTTGAGAAATGCCAAGCATGTTCTTCCTTGCTGGTTTTCTAACTCCAGGTCTTTGTACATTTCATTATAATACTTTACTTTGTCTTCTCGAGTCTCTCTTTGAAATCTTCTGTTCAGCTCTTTGACTTCATCATTTATTCCTTTCACTTTAGCTGCTGTACATTCAAGAGCAAGTTTCAGAGTCTCTTCTGACATTCATTTTGGTGTTTACTTTCTTTCCTGTCCTTTTAAGGACCTCTTGCTTTCTTCATGTTTGATGTCCTTGATGTCATTCCACACCTCGTCTAGTCTTCGGTCATTAATGTTCAATGCATCAAATCTATTCTTGAGATTATCTCCAAATTCAGGTGGTATATACTAAAGGTCATATTTTGGCTCTTGTGGACTTGTTTTAATTTTCTTCATCTTCAGCTTGAACTTGCATATGAGCAAGTGACGGTCTGTTCTGCAGTTGGTCACTGGCCTTGTTCTGACTGATAATATTGAGCTTCTCCATCATCTCTTTCCACAGATGTAGTCAATATGATCCCTGTGCTTTCCTTCTGGTGAAGTCCACTTGTATAGGCACCGTTTATGTTGCTGAAAAAAGATATTTGCAATGAAGAAGTCATCAGTCTTACAAAATTCTATCATGCGATTTCCAGCGTCGGTTCTATCACCAAGGCCATATTTTCCAACTACCAATCCTTTCTGTTTCCAACTTTCATATTCCAATCACCAGTAATTATCAATGCATCTTGATAGCATGTTTGATCAATTTCAGACTACAGAAGTTGGTAAAAATCTTCAGTGTCTTCATCTTTGGCCTTAGTGTTCGGGGCTTAAATTTGAATAATAGTTGTATTAACTGGTCTTCCTTGTAGGCATATGGACATTATCCTATCACTGACAGCTTTGTACTTCAGGATAGATCTTGAAATGTTCTTTTTGATAATGAATGTGACACCATTCCTCTTCAATTTGTTGTTCCCAGCATAGTAGACCATATGATTCTCTGATTTAAAATGGCCAATACCAGTCCATTTCAACTCACTAATGCCTAGGATATCGATGTTTATGTGTTCCATTTCATTTTTGATGACTTCCAATTTTTCTAAATTCATACTTCACAGATTCCACGTTCTGATTATTAATGGATGTTTGTAGCTGTTTCTTCTCATTTGGAGTCATACCACATCAGCAAATGAAGGTCACAAAAGCTTTATTCCATCTATATTATTAAGGTTGACTCTACTTTCAGGAGGCAATTCGTCCCCAGTCGTCTTCTGAGTGCCTTTCAACCTCGGGGGTCATCTTCTAGCACTATGTCAGACAATTCTCCACTACTATACATAACGTTTTCACTGGCCAATTTTTTCAGAAGTAGATCACCAGGTTCTTCTTCCTAGTCTGTCTTAGTCTGGAAGCTCTGCTGAAACCTGTCCACACTGGGTGATCCTGCTGGTATTTGAAATACTGGTAGCATAGCTTCCAGCATCACAGCAATGTGCAAGCCACCACAGTATGATAAACTGACAGACGAGTGGTGGTTTACTAGATTACTCTCACATTTAAGAAAGGACTTGTTATTGTTAGTTGCGGTTGAATCAATTCTGACTCATGGCAATCCCCATGTGTGCAGAATAGAACTGCTCCATAGGTTTTTCAAGGCTGTGACATTTCAGAAGCAGATCACCAGGCCTGTCTTCCAAGGCACCTCTGGGAGGTTCAAATAGCTAATCTTTCAGTTATTAGTGGAGTGATTAACCATTTTCTCCACCCAGGGACTCCCAGGGAAATTTTTTTCTAAAGTAATATATGCATTAAATTTTATCTTTATGAACTTACCAATGATTAAAAGTCTTAATACCCTTTCTGCGTTTGA